CAAATTTTACACCTAGTGGCTATTTAAAGGGATTAGTTCGTCTACAATTCACTCTGCTGGATCCTGAGAGGCAGCTGCAGTACCCTGTAATAACTCAAGCATGAACCCAGAGAACCTACGCAACCCTTTACGCACAACGAGCCGTCTGAAGTTCAAATCCAGAAGCTTCTCTGTAACACTGTGCAGCCAACACACACACATACATACACACAAAAAAAATCTGATAAATAGCATGAAAACCTTTGAGGTTTAACATTTCCACCATGCAGTAAGGTTCTTCAAGGCAACACACAGGGCAACTATTTGAAAAATAAACACTGCACATTAAACAGACTCACAGAATAACTAAAAAATTCTTTGCTGCATTTCAACTTAGTTTCTATATGACTAGAGACACTGAAAGCTCTACCTAGCTCCGTACTGGAAATCCTTCATAACACTCTGTTACATTTCTGAGAATCAACAACAACAACTAATCATTCATAACTGGGCTGAGTAAAATCAGCCAATTTCAGCCAATTCAAACATTCACGTTTGAGCCAGGAAGAGTGCAACAGGCTTCTCCGTCAGAACTTTATGAATGACTCATCTCCTGCCCGTAATCGTAATGCCTTTCTGGTTCATTGCGATTTGTGAAATGCACAGCAAGACGCCAAATCTTCGGTGCTGTATTCTGTACGGGAGCAAGCGTGTGACTGTGCGTGTGAAGGGATTTGGCTGAGAGATAATTGACTCCTTCAGTCACTCTGATGTGCTGTGAATCATCTGCAGCCATCTGACTTCCTGGAAGGCTATTTCAGGAGTTCTAAACTTTTCCACATTGGGACTAATGAGGAGCCTTACCGAGCTTTAGCGTTAGCTTTGAGAAAATAACGCAAGGTTCTCGCCTTTCTGCCATCGATTGCAAATCCTGTCTTTCAGTAAACGTTTTCTTAACATAATGCAAAGGAGATATTTTCTGCGTGAGAATGAGATCCTGCTTTCACTTCAGCAGAGGCTCTACTCCCATTTCTGCTAAATACAAAAGAAACAGAAGCGGTATCTAATATGTGTGTTCACAGAAAGAAATGATCATGATCATCCGCCAGATACATTACAAACTTAGAAATATAATGTTGATCCACAATCTTGTTGGAAGTTTCAATTGAAACAAAGCGATCAAGTTTCATAGACGTTGAAGTCGTTGAAGCAGGCTGCTTTCTTTTCAGCAGTTCGATTGCACAACCTGAAGGAGGAAACCTGCAGCCTATGAGCATGTTGGACGTTTTATTTAGCTGCATCCTCGCAGCGCTGCAGCTAGATCCAACCTATAATCAACATTCTTTCAACATAAAGGCAGAGGATCACTGAGAGGAACACATGCCAGGACAACTTAAGAACACTGCTAGCGTAAAAAGCTGAGATATTTGACAGCAATATAAGCCAGATTGTTTGAACACAAGCAGTACAAAAAAAAAAAAGCATGTTTGAATAGAAAAGCGTTCTGTCACCAGAAAGAATGTTTTTTTTTTTAGATTGTTGCACACATCTGTCTTTTATTTTCTATTTTTTCCTCTGGAAAATCTGACCTGCATTTGTCTTCCAAGTTATCCCCTAAAGTCAGCTCTAATCTTTCTCCTTTGACTCTTTTTTAATGCTCATATCCCCTCCCTGCAAGGCAACAGTGGGTCAGAATCTTCTCAAGGTCTCACCCGTGGTATTCTTTGAACCCCTGACGAAAACAGCAAAAACTGATTTCTGTGATAACATCTCAGCTAGAGACATTGTCTGATCTACAGCTGAAAGTCGGGGTTACACGTTGGGCCACTTTTTTCTAATCTTTTTTTCTTCTGTAGTGCATATTTTGCCTGTGCATGAATGCAAGTAGCACGAGGCTTAGTAAGGCCAAACCTAATAAAACAGAGTTTTAAATTCCAAGAAGATGGATTGTTTTGTTTGTCTATCAATGAATTTCTCTGTGCAGAAACTGGCCAACTAAATAATCATGTCAATTTTCAGAAAATCTTGTTAGCAGCGCACTGATCAAGTGTAATGCCACCGTCTGGGGGAAGATCCCAGGATATTTATAGTTGGAAGAATGTCTAACAGAGTTAATATAATTTAGCGCAACATTCAGAGAGGCTTTGATCCAAAGAAAACCCAATTTTATTACATTTTTATCGTTTCTATTCAGAGGGTTTTTGTGTTTCTGTACGGATGGCAGTGGGAGCAGCTCGTTTATAAACAGTAAACTTCAAGAGATTATCCGCCGCGCAAAAAATCCAAGACAAGAAGAAGAACATTCTTTGATTAATTTATAACCATAAATCCTAAGTAAGAGCCTTCAGGCTTAAAAAAAGAAGAAAGAAAAAAGAAAGAAAATTACAGACAAGATTTTGTCTAGGGCTGCCTTTTACAAAGAGAGACCTGAGAGCAGGTAAAAACCTTGAAAGCATGCTAGCAGACGTTACTTCCCCACCCGAGGGCATGTCTGGCTCTTTTTTTGTTCTCAGTGACTCAAGGAGGGACAGCGGTTGCATCTAAATGACTAAATCACAAAGGCATGTAAACCTCAGGTAGGCGCTGGTATTACTACAGACTGTAAACCTTCCTCTCTTTAAGTGTTTCAAAACACCTGGTTCATCATAAAAGGATTATTGGTCGGAAAATCAGTGTGTTGATAAACAAGACGAAACGTTGACGGAAATTGCTGCATAAATTGCTGTCAATAATACCTAATCTAATTTTGTGGTTTTTTTGGAGAAAATTTCTCTAAAATGTTCTATTGGAGAAGTTTTACAACCTTGGTATAATAATGGTCAGTTTTCTGAGGTTTTTATTTTATCATAGTTATATTGTATCAACTGATATTAAGAAATAATGTTGTGATAAAGGTTTGGTGATATGGTCGAGCTACATTTGAATATTTTCAAGGAACGGGCATCAAACACAGATGTGCATTTGCCATTGTCAGAGTCCAAATGTTCTTATGCAAGCATCCCTTCTGCAGGGTTGAAAGAAATAACAACCCAACGACAATCTGGGTTGGATCTCGGTTGCTGTTTCTTGAGGTTAAAAATGTTTTTGCAACATCTTATGAGTCTAGTGCAATAGATGTTCAAAGTTGCATGGGCCAAAGTGAGACTGGTGCAGAGTGATAAGCCTAAACAGCAGTGTTTTAACAGGAGGGCTATTTATTCGATTATTTATTCGATTGATCGATTAATAATCGGATGGCAAACAATTCCTTAAAAGAGATTTTTTTTTTTTACAGAATTTAAACAAAGTTGAGCTAAAACTTTTCCCCCTGAATTCTGGATAGAGAATATTAATGGACGAAAGTTTTTTTTTTTTTTTTTTTTCATCTTAAGTGCAAAATGTTTATATTAGAGCTGCAACTAATGATTATTTTGCAAGTCGATTAATATGTCGATTATTTTTTCCATAAATAATGGGATAGTCAAAGATTTTATTATGAAATTAAACCAGGGGAAACTAAAACTTTTCCACTAGAGTAGTTCTGGCATATTGACAGACGAAAACATCTTTTTTTATCGTGAATGAATAATGTTTATATATTTTCTACAATTTTGGTATAATTGCTGCACTAATTGTCAGGTAAAGGCATGTTTTAGAGACTCTACACTCAAGTTAACACTTAATCAATTGCTAAATTAGTTGACTACTATGTAAATAATCAATAAATCTGATTAAATGTTTCAAAGTAATTACCCAAATATATTATAAACAACAAATAACATGATTCAATCGATTTTTTTTTTTTGAAGCAGAAAATCAACCATTTTAAAAGCAGCTAAAATATTGCAAAATAGTTATTGTTAGTATATATAATGTTATTAAAAACTTGTGCGAATTGGTTTTGTTACAGACCTAAGCAAAAGTTTGGAATAAGTGTCAATGAATATGTAGCATCTTCCTGCTCTTTGTTTAGTTTTCAGACCACAATAATCATCAAGCAGGAAATTGTAGTAGCGTTCTTTCTTCCAGCTGACAAGCAGCGTGCAGCTGCAGGTCAAGAAGGGAGACATTCTATTAGACTCAACAAAACCAGAGGAAAGGTTCATAAACATTAAGAGTAAAAAAGTAGTCTTTGCATTTTGGTAATGGTAATCTTTTCAAACCTGCAGGGGAAAACAACTAATTAATAAATAATGCGAGATTTTCTTTTTTCCTCAGTGCATCACTGTTAATTGACTGTTAAGGACTCAATGAACCAGTTGTGGACTTTGATTTAATGCAGTCATAAAGCAAAACTTTTAACCTTTCTCCAGGGGGGAAAAAAAAAAGTCTTGACCTAAATCTGAACTTTGGAAGAGTCCAGTCAAAATGCCAAGGGTCTAAATTTGAAATTGCTAATGACAAAGAAAGACAGACATGGACAGTAAGGACTGCAGTGGACATAATGGTGAAGATTGAAACCAAGTATCTGCTTCCTCAAAAAAAAAAAAAAAAAAAAAAAGAGTGAAAAAAAAATCAAACTGCATTAAATATATATAAAAAACAACACATTATTAAGGAGGATCAAACTTGATGCTTAGCTTGACATGAGTGTTGCGTCATCACCATGGTGACAGCACACACTTCTGCGCCAAATTGCAAAAAAAAAATATTGAAAACAAAAATTTAACAGACTAAAAACTAACAAAGATGTGTCCATATTTAGAGCTGCCGTATAGAGTTTCTTTGCAGATGCTACACTAAAAATAGCTACGTTTTTAACATGGTCTTTTCTCATAGCAGAAATGTAAAATATTTTTGTTTGTTTTTTTCTTGCAAAAACATCTGCGTAACCAGCTGCGTGCAGGAGGGGAGACCCTTTAAACTCTATAGGCGAGCACATTTCTCAGCGAACTTTGCGAGAGAAAAAAAACATGTGACATTTTCCTCCACTTTAAATAGCGCAGCTACTTGTTTTAAACTTAAAAAAAAGCTGCAAAACTCCTCATGCAGATTAAAGGGAAGAATGCAGGTTAAAATAAAGGTCTGCGATGCGTACTCACGTTCTCCGTTATCTTGGACGGGCACCCACCGCAGCACGACGACTAACCACCAAGTTGGACTTCGCATAACGGAAATGTGCTGGGAGGCAAGTATGCTAGCATCTAGGCGCTGAGCTGGAGCACAACTAAGTGGACTTGAGAGGGAAAAGTTCGCGTTGAAAAGCCCCTTGCTTTCTCTGTCATTGTGTCCGCATGCGGTTGCTCTTCCACGACAGTAAAAAGAGGAAAAGAAAACTTTCAGCCACGAAGTTGATGCTCATTTCCGCCGCGTGATAAAAAAAATGCCGCGGTCCAAAGCGGAGAGGGGAAACAGTCAAGATGGACCAGATGTACGGTACTCATTCCGGAAGCTTTTCAAAATAAAAGAATTAAAGCTTAAAGGAATAGTACACCCAAAAACCGCGGCAGACCAAACCAGATGAAAGTGCGCATTCAGCTCGGCAAAGAACTCGTGCTCTTCCTCAACACTGAAGTCCTCAGACATTTTTCTTTCGTTGTTTCTTTCTTTGCACAGGTAAACAGCACATTTCTTCTTCTACGCTTGCAAATCGGCAGAGCAGACGCTGAATGCGCACTTTCAT